GGGCCAGGCTAGAAATGCTGTGTAATGTGTAGAGTATTATAGACCTCTGTGGGTTTGGGGTTTTTTGTCTTAAACACTCCATCTGGAAGCAATTATAACTTGGAGAGGGTTCAGTGGATGCGGTTGTGTCTCTGTCGTGGCCCACAGTGGGAGAAAAGGATGTATTTTTTATTATCCTCGTGGTCATTGTAACAGGGTATAGCAATTTGTCACATTAGAGTAACAAATTGAATGCATATTGAAATCGAATGTGTGTTCATAATGCTACCACGGATGCTATCTTGCAGTCATAAACACTTGAGCAGGAGTTTAAAGCAAAAAAAATGAAAAAAACCTGTATGCTGGCAAGCAAAGCAGCCAAGCATCCTCCTTTTTGTCCCCTCCCAAGCAGCAGCAGGACAACCAGTGGAGCAACAACTGCCTTCAGGACACTAATTACATGTCATTGGTACTGTTAAGTGACTGTAGATGGTTGTTCATCTTTGGCCTGGGAAATTGGTGCATTAGCACGATGAGGAACAGTGGAATTAAATGAAAATGGAGCTACTTTGCTCTGAAACACATGCAAATGCTTTCCCAGTTTGAAGTCCAGGTACTGACTGACTAACTGTGCTTTTATTGCCTCTGAATCTAAGATGTGCTCTCCCAAAGAAAAATGGCAGTTGCATCCCTTGCTTTAAGTGACTGCACTCCTGGTGCTAAACCAAGGGCTCAGGAAAGCTTTTGACAATGTAATTCAGCTGCACAAGGAACAGGAGCATTTCTGTTCCACCACGATCTCTTGGCTTACAGCTGCACAATATTTTATAATGAAAATGAGCTGGGAGGGTTTGGGGGAAGGTTGCTAAGGCCCATGAGGAGGTTCAGCTTTCTGTCTTCTGCTGTAAGTCCCTTTAGCATGGCTTAGTGCTTTGAGAAGCACATACAACTTGCAATAAATCTGGCAGTGATTTCCCACAGAAACACTCATCCAAGTTCCAATGTCCAGGTGGAAAATCAGCACTGCAGGTAGCAAATTTCAGTATTGAGAAGCTGTCTACTCTGACATGACCACAAAAATCTGGGAAAAATCCTAAGCAGTAAACAAATCACTCTGCAAAATGAGACTGCTGTGGGAGAGATATGCCAGTATGTGTCTCTGTGGATAGACTTGAAGCCTGTAATACAGAACTGGCATAATGTTGTCTTTCAAATGCATGTCACTTAGGCTTCTTGGTGTTTAAAGATAAGGCAGCATATTTTCCTAGTCATACTACTAATTTTACCCATAACATGGATGCAAAATACTGGGCAAATATATTTTTTTTCTCCTAGGAATTCAGGAACACTGGCAATTTGAGTAAATATTACTATGAAAAAAATCTAGAAGGCATGCAGACTCCAAGAGCAAGGGATAGTTAATAATGGTCTGTCTAATAAAAACAGCCCCAAATATTACAGTCTGAAAGACTGCATTAAAAGAACCTTTTCTTCTTTGCTACTTCCACACCATCCATGGAGAAGCCTGAAAGATTATTAGAATACGTTAATAGTCCCCTGTGTTTTATCTTCCTGAGGGAGTTACAAGACCCTGACTGAAACAGGAAATAGACAATAAATCCCATTTTTATGACTCTGTAAGTCAATGATTTTATGGTTTTAGTAACAGGCATGTAAGAAGTATTTTAGGGTTTAGTTTTCAGTGAGTTGCATGGTTGTTTTTGGTTTGTGGTTTTGTGTTTGTTTTTCTAAGGCAGTGTATATAAGCAAATTAAATCACATGTAATCCTGAGATTGCCAAAGAAAGATTCAGAACAACAAAAACCTGTTCTAAAGAAGTATTTTTCTCAGCTAGTTTTATTCTTGGGAATGTCCTGAATAGATACAGTCATGCCTGCACCTTTTTTTTTTTTTTTTCAGTTGGAACGGGCAGGACCAGACCATAAAGAACAGTCCTGGTTTATAAACAGCAGCCCACTGGGTCCTTGGGCAGCCTGAACCAGTGGGATGATGGGAAGCTCCCCAAGCACAGAGATGAGCTTGCATCTTCTGTAAACATTGCCACAGGTCACTGATCTGAAGGGTCTGGCAGAACATGCAAACTGAAAGTGGAGAGATGACTTATTTAATGCCACCTAGAGCTTACAGCCTAATGCAGGCTGTTCTCTCCAGTGCTAATGAAGTTTATGGTATCTAAAATACAAATGTGCCTGCACACAGGCCTCTGCATCTGCAGAGCAGTTGTTAGACCAGGAAAAATAACACACTTGTTCTGCATTTTTTTCCTGATCTCTGATTTTACCTTTCTGAAATTCATAGAACCATACAATGGTTTGAGTTGGAAGGGACCTTAAATACAATCTCATTCCACCCGCCCCTGCCATGAACAGGGACACCTTTCACTATCCCAGGTTGCTCCAAGCCCCATCCAACCTGGCCTTGGACACTCACAGGGATGGGGCAGCCACAGCTGCTCTGGGCAACCTGTGCCAGGGCCTCGCCACCTTCACAGGGAAGAATTCCTTCCAATATCAGTTTAAACCTGCTCTCTTTCAGTTTGAAGCCATTCCCTTTTGTCCTGTCACTTCAGGTTTGTTTTAGACACGTACTCATTTCTCAACCACTTGTAGACTATGGAATTAAATGCATCCACAGTAAGTACTTAGTACCTCTTCTCTTAGGAATGTAAACACAGATTTATTGATCTGCTGAGATCTGGCCCAAACCAGGGTAGGTGGTACATGTTTTGAGCTGGTCCTTCATCCTCCCTGTGCCTCCTCTGGCCTATAAGCACCCCTTGCTTATAGAAGTAAAATGCTGGGGTGTGTGTATGGGGATTTTTCTTATCTCTAAAGGGAGACTGTAACACTTCAGGATAGAAATGATGCTAAAAAATACACCTGGGACTGCTTTGACTGCAACATGTTAATGTTGACCAAACCTGTATGTGTTTCTTACTATTGCAAAGAAAGCTTCAGATTTCAGTTTTATTTTTTAATGAGATCATAACCCTCTATTTCTATCCAGTAATGTAGTTGTTCCAGCTTAAACTAGATGTATTTCTTTATTTCAAGCCATGAAGTTTTCCTGATGGACAGTTCTAACAGTGGAGCTGGACATCAAAGCATCTCAGAAAGCCAGCTTTTGCTTCTTAAGCCTGTTGCTGTTTATCTGCCTGTAGCAAGAGACAAACAAGGGAGGGGAAAATAGATACTGCGTAAAGGAAAAAATAACAAAGAAATAAATTAATGCCAGGTGTCTGGAAGCAGTTGCTTACTTAGCTTCCTTTTGGGAAAAGGTGAAACAACAAACCCCACAATCCCTTTTTATCTTCTCTGCAGCCCTCCTCATTCTGCTCTGTTTCTGTATCCCCAAATAAGGTTGGTTGGCCATCCCCAGAGCTCTGAGGGTTATCCTGCCACCTCCTGCTGAAATCCATCCTCATGGCACTCCAAGGTAACTAAGCTGGGTTTTTTGGGGGTTATGGATGACTGAGTTGGGCCTCAGGCACTATGCACTGTTGTAGGCTACTGTGATTCTTGTGCGGAATAATAATAACGATAATGATAACAATAATAAAACAAAACAACTTTTTCTGTAATTTTTGTATGAACTACTCTAGAGGCAAATCCCTGCCCTAGGCTTCAACCCCACTGAGTTCTTGTTTATTCTAGAAAATGACTTTGCGTGACACTATGGGCTGTATTGTTATTCTTTAAATATATAGGTTTGTATTAACCCCCCAAAGTGTACCACGAAACTCACAGGCATACCGTCTGCCACCTGGGCATACTTTTATTAAGAAATTATTGCTGGTCATGCATGACATCAAGCTGATAGAATGATGATACCATAATGTGACTAAAGCCTTTTGGAGTTGCCCAAGATAAGGAATTCAATTGTTGTCACAACCCAGCCCCAGAGTTTTAGCACTGCCCTTGTTGATGGAAGCTGTAGAAAGAGATTTTTTTTTTCAGAAATCTTAAGAAAGTGGTGGGAGAGAAGAGGGTGAAACTCCTGACAGCACTGTGGTAGCACTCAGAGAAAAAGCTACTTTGTATTTTGAGACTAGTGGAAAATTTCAGATAGCACAGCACATGCTTTCTGAGCTAACATACAAACTCCCAAGTCAACATTTTCAGTATGTACACATATTATAGTTCCAATTAGCAGTATTGGTGTTGGGCAGCAACTGCATGTGAAGACAGAGAGTAGGTTGGTAGTTTGTTCTTTTCCTCTAGGCATTTTATTTTCCTTCTAGTGTAACTCCACCTGCAGAGCAGAGCACTGTAGCTGCATTTTGACAGCATGAAATCACAGCCCTCCTCTTCACTGTCTCTTTTTCTGCTTTGCCTAACTCCTTGTTCATTAGAAAGGTGTCAAGACTGGCCATAGTGCTTCTGTATAACAGAAAATAACTTGGCAGACACGGGGGGTGTAAATGTTTGGTTAAAATAGCAATGTTTCAGGTCAGTAATCAGATTGCCTAGTTCCAGCCAGAGGTGAATTTTTACCACCTCGTATAAGCTGATTTATAGTGGAAGCATTAAGAGGTAATGAATGCAGACAGCCCTGCGGGCCAGCAGCCCCAGTCCTGCCAGCAGCCCATCCTCTCCCAGGCACCAGCTGCACCAGGGGCTTGCCAGCAGGGCAAGTGGGCAATGCTCTGCCAGCTCAATGCATGGGAGGCATCGGTGTTCACACCAGCACTGCAAATGTGAAGCCACAGATGTAGATCGTGTAGACTTGGGGCTAAAAAATTAAAATTATGGACTTGATAACCTTATTGCAGACATAGGAATATTCACTATTATCAGTACTTTTTCCTTCAAAGCACAGGAAATGTTTTTAAAGCTGGTTTGTGTAATTATCAATTAAAAAAAAACAAATCTTGGAAATAAAATACAGAGATGGGAGAGTTTCATATTAAAGTAGAAAGTATGTTAATTCATGTCATTAGGTGCTTTGCATTGCTCTAGCCCATTTCACTGGAATCATTCTTGGGGATGCACTGCTCTCCCACTCACTGCTGTCAGGTAAGGTCCCAATGTACTCTGTTCCCAACCACTTGGGTATGGTTCTTATTACACCACATGCTTTTTAAACATGTATTCTTTTACATTGCTAGGGAAAACTCAAGCCTGAGGCTTTGCTATGACTAAATTGGAAGAGCTAAGAAGATGAGTAAAAAGAGTTCTCTCTCTAATTCCCCCTGCAGAGGAGCAAGCTTCCCTTTGCTGGCTTTCATGGCTACTTTGCAAGCCTGGATGCAGGTGCAGAGTCATGGGCAGCCTGACTGATGGCTCCTAAGGCTGTCACATGCACATGTGTGTGAACATTTCTGCCTCCCTTTGTGGCCCAAATTTTCTTCTAGGAGTGCAGGGAATAAGGTTCGAGCCCTTGAAATTAGCACCTGCAGTGGTGGGCAAATAAAAGGTACCTGTACTGTGCTGGCCATATCACAACTCCTTGTTTGCTTGGCGTGTGCCTTTGCTGAAACAAGGACATTAGCAGCTGACTTAGAAGGATTAAGGTTTCATCTGTAGTCATAAAATTTAAAAACTGCAGAAAAGCCTTTCTCGGGTTAGGACCCTGTGTTTGTGAGCCTGTATCCCATTGTTGATTTCACAGCTCATTCACATTTGTGGTCTGCTTTCTGACCATTGGCTTGTGGTAGGTGTGTTTCTACTCGTAGGTTTGACTTAGGGGTAGAAGCTGGAATAATAAATGCGTGATCAAGCAGTTGCTTGTAGGTTTATAACTGGAAAGAATTTATTCAGCTAATAAGTGTCAGGTTGTTTTCTCTGTGCAACTTGGTCTAATGGAAGATGTCCCTGAACATGGCAGGGGCTTGGAACTAGATGATCTTTAAGGTCATTTCCAACTCAAACTGTTCTGTGATTCTGTGATTATATCAAGGCACATTGTTTCAGATCAAGTCAGAACTCCCTTTGCTGCACCACTGTTTTGCAAGGTATCTTAAACGGTATCTGGCCTCTTCATTTTTTTTTTTTTAACCTTCTGAAAAGACAGCAGCCCCAGCTGCTGAGCCCTTATCTCCCTCATTTTTAAGCCTCTCAAAATTATTACTCTCTAAAACCGCTCACCCATCGCTACGTCTAGGTGACATGCTTTTCGTGTGCACCTCCTGCTTTATTAAACGTTTGCACCAGCATAGTGTGTGCAAACAACAAACAAACAAAAAAAGGACTTTTCTAAGAAATATGAATCTATTTCCGAGAGATCGGTCTGAAATCGTGTTCATGTTCCCAGTAAATCTCCGGGGAGATTTCAAGCGCTCGCTTGCCTTCCGGCGAGGACGAGGTAAATGTCTCTCTGTCTCTCCGCAGAAGGAGATCCCCCTCCCCTGCGCAGGGCTCTCCTTTGTTCGGGGCCGGGCTGCGGGCGGAGAGGCGGGACCCCGTGCGCGCCCGGCGGGGGCAGCGCGGCGGGGCCGAGCCAGGCGGGCGGAGCCGCCCCGCGCCGCGCTCGCCCGCTCGGCCCCTCGCTTACCGACGGGGCGGGCGGCATGTGGCGGGGGCTGCCGGTGCTGGCCCTGGCCGGGCTGCTGCTGCTGGGGCGGGCGCCGGCGGCGCGGGGGGCGGCCTGCGAGCCGGTGCGCATCCCGCTGTGCAAGCCGCTGCCCTGGAACATGACCAAGATGCCGAACCACCTGCACCACAGCACGCAGGCCAACGCCGTGCTGGCCATGGAGCAGTTCGAGGGGCTGCTGGGCACCAACTGCAGCCCCGACCTCCTCTTCTTCCTCTGCGCCATGTACGCGCCCATCTGCACCATCGACTTCCAGCACGAGCCCATCAAGCCCTGCAAGTCCGTCTGCGAGCGCGCCCGCGCCGGCTGCGAGCCCGTCCTGGTCCGCTACAGCCACGCCTGGCCCGACAGCCTGGCCTGCGACGAGCTGCCGGTCTACGACCGCGGGGTCTGCATCTCCCCCGAGGCCATCGTCACCGCCGAGGGCGCGGGTGAGTGCGCGGGGACCGGCACCGGCGCGGGGACAATGGGCGGCGGGCGGGGAGGGCAGTCCGGCCGGCCCGGCAGCCCTGCCTCCCCTCCGACCGCTCTCGGATTCTCTCTGCTCTGCCCTCCGCTCTTTTGCTGTCTTTTCTCTGCCTTTAGCAGCCGCGTCGCTGCTGGAAAAGTTTTGCTGTTGGGCACTGAGTGTGTGTGACAAGTGACAGCCCCGCCACCGTTCTGGGGAACGCGTACGAGTGTGGGAGCTACAGCCCTCGTTCCGCATGAACGGGAAGCGTTTCCGTACTACTCTTCGGGATCCTTCGGCAGCGGTTGCTGGCAGAGAATGAAGAGCCACCCAAGTGAGGGGCAGCCCCCAGGGTGCCCCCCCTCTCCCTCCCGCTCCTCTGTGCTCATCTTCAGCCGCTCCCTCCTAAAGCAGGTTGCTCCCTTCCCTCACAAGGCCATCACCCCACAGATCTGGGGAAAGATCAGTGCCCAGAGGAGCCCCAGGCAGGAGCTGGGGGGGCCGAGGTCTCCCCAGCCACTTCTATGCCAGTGGTGGGACATGCACATCTAGAGGAGAGAAAACATGCTCATCTCAGTGGTTAGCACTGAAGGTACAGGTTACAGCACAGGTTCCCCAGCAGGTCCGTGGGCTCTGGAACTGTAGCCAGGTGAGGAGTGTAGCAGAGTGCAGCCTTCCGTTGTGTTTTGTTCCCAACATCCCTGAAGCCAGCCAAATGCTGCGTCCTGCACCTGAGCCCTGATGGTGTGTGACCACTGTGGCCTCAGAGGGGCTGTTGGAGCCGCTCAGCTTTACCTCTGCATCCCGTTTCACCAGCTGAGCTCTGTGATCCCCGGGATGGCTGGTGCTGGGTGTCCGGCTGCCATCCAGCAGTACTGTCGGAGGCAGGAGCATCTCTGCACAGTCAGGTGAGGACTGCTGACTGCTCAGACCGTGCTACAAACCTGCTGTGGCTCAGGGATCCTGCTCTTGTCACAGCTGCCTTTGGACTGGAGGAGTTGGCAGGGCACCGCTCCAAGGTGGTGAGCTGAGCACCACTGAGATACTGAATACAAGGAGCTATTGAACAGGAAATTAAAGCAAGCTGGTGGCTGGTTATCACGAGTGAGCTCTGACCTTTTACAAAGTGATTACAGCTCCTGTGTGTTTTCAGGAAAGCATTTGCTGCTGGTGGAACCAGGCTACCATTTTCTTTGATGCAAAGTTTCAGTGCTGGTAGCTCTGCCAGACCTCTCCATCAGAGGAGTTGGAGAGCAGTCCTGGGGTTGGAGAGCAGACCAGAGAGGTCAGAGCAGAGCAGCACCCATGCACCCCACGAGCTTGTTGTGCTGCTACCTGTCTCCTTCAGTGCCCACAGCTGCAGTGCTGGGTTTTGGGAGCTCACTGATGGGCAGTGGATCTCACCTCTCTGTCCTCCCCCAGCACTGGCCTAGGAATGAAAGGGGGATTTTTCATGCTGTGCTCAGCACAGTGTTTTACTGTGCTTCTGTCCCACTACTAAATGCTTTATGTATCCCACTGCCAGTAATGCCAAACGCTGTAATTCCTGTTTTCTTCTCCTAACAAAATATCACGCTTCAGTTTCCTGACCGTGCTCCCAGCCCAGCCTTCCCAGGTAAGCTGCTCTCTCTGTCTCCATTTATTTACAGGCCACACAAACCCTAATCCATCTCTGACTCTATTCTCTTACCCTCTGCACCTCTTAAGCTCTCCATACCCTCATATCTCCAGTCATTACTACTATTTCTAACTTCTAGCTGCTTCCCTCTTGTCTTTTCCTACATTTTTTCCCCAGCCCATGAATGTAACCATCTATTTTTGCCATCAGCTGCTGCTCTCTGAGCATTGCAGTCCTGCTGGGGTAGTTTTGGGGAGATGTGGTTTTGAACACCAAGCACCTTTCTCTGCAGCATTTAGGTGCTTTCAAAACCACCTTAAAAGTGGCTCCAGCATGAGCAAGGTTTGGCAGGTCTGCAGCGATTTGAAAGCAATCACATTCAAATCTGGAGGGAGGAAGCTTGGCTGAAATCGCCCCCGAGTTACCTATTTCTGAGGACCTCAGCAGTACAATAACCTCTTTGAGGGATTCCAGGGCCAGATCCATGAAAACTCTCTTTCAGTGAATGAGAACCTGATGACATTCTCATTTCTGGGCTGAATATTTTGAACTGATGCATTATGCACCAGCCTGAAAGAATCCTTCTTGAGGGAATAAAACTGTTCTTTTAGAAAGCAGAGGGAAGGATTCCTGTTCTAGGAAGAGGTTAGGTGGACACTTTCAAATCCAATTCTCCAAATAAAGGATTGCAGCTCAGTAGAAGACACAAATAACCAACTGCCTGATGAGCAGTATGCAGAATCCCTGCTCTTATTTGCTTTCATTTATCTCCTAAGCATTCTAGCCCATTCTGCTGTCTGTAAGCTACACCTAAGAGAGTGGGCAGAAATATAATCCATTGTCCCTTTTAGAAGGGGCTTTTTGTTTTCTTCAGAAGTGAAATACTGGTTTTGCATCCGTTCTTTTCCTACCTGTAACAGGGTTCTACTGTTTCCTTTCCTCTTGAGGTTTCTGTGTTGTTGCTGGTGAACATCAGAACATTTGTCTTGTCCCTTCCATAAAGGAGCCTTAAGTATGATGTGGTCATTGTTTGTCCTTGTCAGAGTGGGGACTGGGCTCACAAGCCCAATTTCCATCAGTTATGTTCCCTGCATCCCAGTAGCCTGTGACTACTTCCTCCAAAATATGGAGGAACTGTGGTCGGTAAAATCTGTGATAAATCTCAGTAAGAAGTTCACGTTCAGCTGTTGAGGCACAGTCCACCACAGACATCTTCTAGGACCTCTTTCCATTTGTGTCCAGGTGGTGAGGAAGATCCAGACACTCCCTGTCACAGCGCCAGGGGGCTGCTGAGTGGTGAAGCAGCTGCTGCTGTGTCTGTGATGGAGGAGCTGACAACACTGCTGTGTTTTGGGCTCAGTTAGAGGTATAGCTGTGCACTCCCTCTGGGCTTGTGCTGGTCTCCAAAACTTGAGTGGGAGCATAGATTTGGAGGTCTTAAGTTCCTCAAGTTATAGAGACCAACTTAAAACATGTGGGAAATGTATGTTTCTTGATTTTTCATTTTCTCTGGGAACCATCCGGGTTCCTTTATACCCAGAAAGCAGAGGGATGCTGCAGTCATGGTGTGGGTGTTCTGGAGGTGGGTGTGATGCTGAATAATTTGGCTTTTTATGGAGGATCCAGCAAATCATCATCGAGGATGAAGGATGAAAGAGCATCTTGATGTTACATTAACACCCCAGATGTCAGATTAGTGCATGCTAATGTCTGGAGTCTCCTATGGCATTTGTCCCACATCCCTGTCCTGGGCTTTTTGGAGATGAAAGTGGTTCTGCATGCAGACATTAGTACAAACTGTGTTACATCTCTGGGAGGTCCTGTTCACTTGTTCCATATTTCAGTCTTCATGTGCGTATGCTTATTCTTCCTCCAGTCTATCAGATTATCTGCTTCCCTCATTTAAGGCCCTGTCAAACTTTCTTAGGTCTGTGAAGCAGCAGGAGCTGCTGAGAGACAAAATTGTCTCAAATCTGGAATTTCAGAGGCAGGACCTTGTCTTTAGTTTTGCAGGTAGTAAGTGGCCAGTGTTGGCATGGGGATGCTGACTAAAAAAGCGTCTTCATCATGTGTCCTTGGCTTAGGAGAGTGTTTATGTCTCAAGTGGAATGTTTAATCCTGTTTTGAAGAGGGAACTAGCAATAAAAGCAGAGCAGTGATGGGTGCTGTGCATATTGGAAGTCAGATCTGTCAGGCAGGTTGTCTCACCATATCTTACTTAGATAAGAACATAGCTTGAAGGCGTGTTGGCCTGTTAATAAGATGTTGGAGAAAAGGGAAGCCACATCACAAGGTATCAACCATGTGTAGTTAGCACTCAAACTATCAGGAGGTGTCTAAGGAGAACTTTGAATGTTTTTTTTTTAAAAACCAACATTTCTTAAACATTAAAGAAAATTATAGATTATTCAAATGATAGACACCTATTTTCTTAAATCATATGTGACCCCGTGATTGAACTCCATGTTGCCCAAGCCCTCCACTGTCTGTCTGGATGAGTTCATAATAACCCAGTATGTTAATTTGGCATTGCAGACTTAAAAGACAAGTGAACAAGCCATTTCTCCTGCTTGTTTCTTATATATTATTAACTTAATTTCCAAAACAGTGGTTTCCAAGCTCCAGGTCAAATTGGTTGACTCAGTCTTTGCCTAGCTCTACTTAGAGCAGTTGATGTGCATGGCAGTGCTGGGGGAGTGTTACAGACTGCTAAAGACAAGCAGTCGTGCCCAGGTTATCGTTTATAAAATTGGGATTTGTTTAGGTCTTTGTCTGCAACTTGGGAGCAGCCTCATTTCTCAGTTAAATAGCAAAATTAATACAAGCTTCAAGCCTGAAACAGGACAGGAGAAGTAAATAAGAGAATTTAAATCTTAGTAATGAAGATACCACCAGTGGTGTTAGGCACTCACTGCAGTTCAGCTCCCTTTGTAGGCTGAGTCCCCTGGATTTTACAGTCCAAGCATTTAGTAAATACCTGGGCCATTAAATATCACTTAAAACCTGGTGAGATTTGTTATGGGGAATAAAATGTTATGTGGAACTGCCATGTTGCTGGCTGCTCTACAACTTGGAGTTTGAGTTCTTTGTGTTGGATGTTAACTAGAGTAAGTTTTCCTATCACTTGGCTTTTCTGTGCATGTTTTTGCAACCGGTTTAGCAAAGATCCTCTCTGTATTAATAGCTGAAGTAAATGACAATGAATTCATGCATTGTAGAAGGGTTTCTTAATTAATGGGGCTCACAGATATCTGTCTGAAGAAGGTACCTGAGCAGCAGCCACTGGCTGTGGTTTAGTTCTTTGGAGCACAGTGCCTTGGGTGGCTTCAGTAATAGCTGGGCCATATTCTTTAATCATAATGACAGTCAGGATCGTGTTATTTTTTGCCTTCCTCTGCCTTTTAACATTTTTATTTATTTAAACAGTGATATAGGAAAGCTGTTTGCTCAAAACTAGGTATTACCAAGTTGTTACTCTTTTCCAAACCTCTCACCCAAATCTGTGGTTGTGGGCAGTGCTATTTTGTACCCTTACTGGATAAGTGGCTTTTATTTAGCTCTCTTTATTAGTGTTTTGTATTAATAAAATCCTTCTGAAAAACAATTAATTAGGATGGCATATTGGAAAAAAAACAGTTTGGATTTGTCCCTAAACAGAATTTAATAGGAAACTTTTGGATTGGATCTCTGGATAGTATTCCCCTCTTTGGCAATCCTGCTAATCATCACTGACAGGTATTTATTTCAGGAAGATTACCTTGCCTAGACAGAACTTGGCAGAGGGTTTACCCCTGAAGAGAAGTGGAACAATAGGAAGTCAGTTGTTTGGGGTTTTATAAATAGCTTTTTTGTCCCCTCCCTCTGTCTGTGTTGCAGCTGAAGGTCTTGGCAGTGCACATCTGGTGGAGAGAGGCCTCTGTCCAGCAGGCTGCTGGGGACAGGGGCTGGGGGGGTGCTCACACACACCTGAGACCTGACAAGTAGCTGGTGGCAGGCCTGGCCTGGACCCTCTTCCAATCTCCTGCCTGGTAGGTAAGGAGGGACCAGACTGTATGAGCTTAGCTGGGGACAGGCTCAGAGAAAATGAGAAAGCTTTCCTGAGAGGTGTCACTGAGTGGCAGAGGTCCCCAGTCCCCTCCATGAGCCTGTGTTCCTGTCCAGCTGCAGACACCAGCCATCCCTGAATAGGCACGAGTGCTTTGGGAAGGATAAGCATCAAGGCAAGGTCAACACTTGCCTGACCCAAGCCCTCCCAAGTGTGGAAATGAGCTGTGAACTGATGTACTGGTACCTGTTCACCCCTGCTTTGCTCACCCATGGCTGTGACCACCAGGCTGCCCTGCTGCCTTTGTGCAGGCACAGAAACAGGAGGCACTTCCATCCATGGGTGCTCTGCACACAGTGTCTGAATTCTTCTGGCCGCACACAGCTAATTCTTTGGGAATTACTGGTTTGGGGTGGGACAGGTGACCTGGCAGTGCAGAATTAAGAGATGCCTCGAGGCTGTGGTGTGCTGTAATTTGGTTAAAAATAAATTGTGTAGGTAAATGTGTGTGGGAACATCTGTCTAGTGAAGCAGGTCAGTTCCATGCTTGTTTGCATGTTTATACTGGCTGTATCAAGTGCTCACTGGTTCTCCTTGTGTTGGTGTGAGCTCCAAGGACAGTTCCTCAGCCAGTATCCATGGGTATTGTACTCCACATGGGCCAGGGAAGGCTGTGAACCCTTTCCTGGGCTCTAGTTTGTTTTGAGTTGTAATTTCAGTGTGAATTGGACTAGGTTTGCTCAAGCACCACAGAGTCATGCCTACTTGGATCCATCCTTGGTTTAGGTAGGGACAGTGCACTTCAGGGCTTATTTTTCCTTCTGTGGATGAGAGATGGTAAGCATTTAATCTGATAAAATACTGTTTTGGTAGGAATTTTAGCTTGCTGGCCACATGAAAAACCAGAGGAGCTGGCTTAGTCATACACAGATAGCCTTCAAGAAAACCTGAGAATGTGGCCAGTGCAGCTGAGTGAGGGGCAGTGAATCTGGAGAACTTTCTCTGCAGGGATTTTGGGTACCCACAGTGGGGAAACATCTGAGGCCGGCCCTGGGTACACAAGAGAGGCCTGTATGGCCACCTCTCTGTGGCTGGAGGGTTTTGCAGGGGTTTTGTCTGTACTTGGAGCTGATGGGAGGATTATCAGACCATAGACCTTTCTCTATGCTTTTACCACATCAGAAGGAATTGTAGATTTAAAGCTACAGCGTGGCTGAATGAACAAGGCAACAGATAATTGGCCCAGGAGGGAAAGAATGAGAAATGTGGTTGTCCTTTTGTTTACCATTTGCAAGAAGGAAACCATTTCAATTCCTTTTTCATCCTGTCCTGGAATACCAGAATGCATTTGATACATATCAAATGCATTCTTAATGCATTGAGAGTAACTCAGGTGAATAATCAAAATCAAACATGTAAGTAAGAATCAGCTTGTATAGTTTGACTTGTTACAAGGCAGCATGGTGAAGATTCAGAGGTTCTGTGTTAGTACCTGATTCCAAAGATCAGATTGTCTCCATAAAAATGTTGGGTTTTTTCTGTATAAAATAAGATCCTGTGGTAGTGTGGAACTTTCTTTGCAAGAAAATAGATGTGATGTTTTATTAGCAACAGGATATTGAATATAAAAGAGCTTCTATTCAATCTTGGTGTGCTATTTTCTATAACCTTTGCTCTTTATGCTGATTAGAATAATTATTCCTGAAGTCTCAATTTTTTAAAGTGAATTATTATGTGAAGGAATTAGTTGTTTTTTCAGTTTTACTCTTGCCCTGACTGTGATTTAGCTGCATTCTCATTTATGTAAATGAAGTTTCATGTTGGTTTGAGTAGTATAAGTATTCATCAAGCAGAGATTTTATATATTTTTTTTAAACAAGGATGGCAAAAAAAAGCTAAGTAATATTATTTTTCTTGTAAACAGGTATTTACGGAATTTGTGATTAAATAATGATCCCAGCCCTTACAATTTAATCCACATATCTGAAGTCATGAGTACTGAGTATCATGAGTGTCCTGGGCTGTCTTACAGCCAAATGCTTACAACTCAGGCTGCAGGAGGGGAGCTTTGGTTACATTTGTTCCACATTGCAAAAGCAGTGGCATTGCCTCCATGATTATGTAAGAGTCTAAGAAAGTTGATTGTACGATACCAGATTTCAGAATTGGAAGAGCAGAGTGAATGACTAAGTGTGCAAAATTACAGATGGGCTTTTTCTCTGAAAGGTCATTTATTTTTCCATTTTATGTGCCATTCTGATAAAGTGTCCTGCCTCTCTCCCAGTTCTTGTTCCTCTTGCATTTATTTTGTCCTTAGCTCATTCAAGGTTATATGCATTAACATACTTGTTTTTCATGATTATGTGCATAAACCCACTAAATTGTGTGATTTAATAAATAGGTTTGAAACAATGCATTTTACTAGTATGGGACGCAGTCCACTTATGAACGTGTCTGAAAGCAGTTCTTTGGGCATAGTGCTTTTTAAAACTTCTGTTCCTTATCTGTCCTTCAGAGTAATCAGTGTTTTTAAACTGAAGGGAAGGTCTGAAACATTTATTTTGGCATTTGCTTCAACAGTATGATTATGGTTGGTTGATTTGATTTCCTCAGTAACCAAAAAAATCCCCAAAAGTAATTTCTCCTTCATCATCTAATTAAATGCAAACACTACATGTGTTTTCTGTAGGTAATCAAAACTCATGGTATAAATGTCAACCCTTGTCTGAAACCTGCCAGTCTGTAGCAATGGAAATGGGATATTTAGTCTGCTTCAGCATTTAACATGATATGCTGGATTCAGGTGAAATTTGGGTAAGACATTGTGTCAACTTTACTGGACTGACCTCTAGAATATTGCGAAGTGTTTATTAGTAAAGTTATTAAATTTCCACATGCTAAATATTAGAGAAAGAAAACATTGTAATGTATGTGTAGTGAAATAATCCAATATTTAAATTACTAACATTTTTTTTACGTATTTTACAAATCCATGCCAGATTTCCCTATGGATTCTAATAACGGCAACTGTAGAGGTGCTGGCATTGGTAAGTACATTTTTATAAAACTGTATAATAAGCTGTAAACTTTCGAGTCCTTTAAATATTTAATTAAGTAAGAGGGGCACTAAGTGATAAATACTTACTCTTGACTGAGAATACTGTAGATTGTGCTTTTGCATTCCATGGGCAGATGGGATTTGGGGGCTGCTCAGCCTCAAAATGTCCATCAAAGCAGGAGGGCTGTGCTGATTTTATTAAAAGTTTTGTCTTGAACAGACAGAGTAATCATAAAATTGATTTTTCCCTGGGCAAAACCAGTGAAGATAATGGTTCATTCTGACCTTGAAGTTTCCAAATTGAATTCAGTACTCTTTGTAGGTAATGGCAATACTCCTATTAGCCTGAGGAGGTTGAGGGTGGCACCTTCTAAGGCTGGTTTTATTCCAGCAAGTCCCCTGTTGCTTTTTATTTCTGTTTGGGTTTCCTGGAACTGAATTAAACTGAATAAAACCCCTTGAGCATTACCACTACTTGCCAATGCAAAGAAGCAAAGCCCAGGATGGTAGCTAATAATTCCAGGAATGTGAATCCTTTGCTCATGCAAGCCAATGACTGTAGATTTCCTTGAATTTTATTATGATTCCATCCAAAGTTCTTCTCTTAGGTCTTTGTCAAGAAATTGAGACTTGAAAGCCTTAGCATTGACCTCCATGTCTTTTCCTTCTGCAGAGGTGCTGATGAGCTACAGTGTGCACTGATGTCCACTTCAACAATATAAACACCTCAGACAACCTAAACAACCTCGTGGTTGTTGAACCTAACATTAGATACCTATAATTTCAGCATTAAGCTCTGTGACCAAATTGCAAAAAGATGTTAGTAATGTCTAGTTTATGATACAGTTTAAAAATTTAATCAGTAGGTCCCAATGTGAAAGCAGCTATATTCATGCAAAATGTTCTTTAAATCACAGTGTGCACCCTCTAGAAGCCCAGGTACAGTTAAAAAAAACCTCATAAAAGCAAGCCCCTGAACAAGCTTTGCTTTAAATTGTCTTGAGCATGGACCATGTCTGGAAGACTTGCTAAAGGTATTTGTTGCTAACGTTAATATCTTTATTGTTTGAAGCCATTTTCAGTTGTGTGGCATTGAGAAAGTGGGGATTTCATGCACAACATGGGCTGTACAGAGAGCATACAAGCTTCACTTTGAGCATGAAAGCAAAGCTGTATCCTCTCCATGTCGCCTTATATCAAAACTATGAAGCATATCTTTACTGCTGCCTGTCCATAGGCATGTAATTCCAGTGAGTGACCCTGCCGTGGAAAAGTTTCAGTCATATTGTTACTGTTGTGATGCTTTTCTGTGGCTGAAAGCAAAAACAGACCTAAAAAAATCCCATCTAGAAAATAGGGTAAGAATGCACTGAAGAATTGCTGATGCAGTATCTGCTGATATCACTGCCTTTTACTGTACATGCATCAAATTGCTGATTTTTCTGCCTTTTACTCTACAAACCTGATTTCTGGTTCAATGTGCTGCATCTGTCTGAGCTGGCAAACACAGCTGGACCACCTAAAAGGCCATGTTTCAAAATGGCTTTATTTATATGTTCAGTAAAGTAAATTTGTTGTTTTGTCATTGTAAAGAGAGACTTTTTGTTTGTTTTGCAAGTAGCAAATTTATGTGTTTTTTTTTTAAAAATCCCATTCTTAACTTTGTGGTTTCTGCATCTTTTTGCTTGTGCTGCTGTGCATAGTCACAGGGAACAGTACTCATGGGTTATCCCTATTTGAGACACCTTTTTTCCCCTGTCAGTGTTTGCTGGCAAAACCTTCCCTTTGAGTATGCATGGGGTTTTTTTGGGAGACCTTTTTTACCTCTTTTGGCAGTGAAGTACATTGTTTTCTGCTTCATCATGTGCTCCTCAAGTCACTTAGATAATTTTCTCGAGTGTTTGTTTTTTTATCCTTTATTTATCTGGGAGGTGTTTGCCAGGTTTGAGTGCCTGTACAGGTCAGTATTACAGCCAGGTTTTCCATCATGCATGCACGTATATTTAAGATGACACAGATGTTTCTTGGTAGCAATCCATGGGGAAAACCATTCTCTCCATGTCTTTTGGCATTTACAGATTGAAGTTTTCAAAGACAGAGATTTTGAGCAGTTTGTAGTCCTGTATTTAATTGAAAAGAAGATTTAATGGCTAGCTGTGGTCTTAGCCAAAGCCAGTGGGAGCCTCTGCTGCCTGTCTCTGTGCTTGGGGCACACCATTGTTGAGGTTTCAGAGCTCTTCTGGTAATTCTGGCAGCTTCTGAGGAGGCTGTCAGGTAGCACGAGATTTTCCCTCCACATCAGGTGATGCAGTACGTTTTTACAGCCACCTTTTGTGGGTATTTCCACTCCCTGGGGGAAGGTCAACATTTGCCTTCCTTGGAAAATCACTGTACCAGGAACTGGGAGAGAGGAATTGGTTCTGGCTCTAACTATGTAACTGACCTTGGGAAGTTACTTTTGTGTTAGTTTCTGCATCTCTAAATAGTAAATAGGAATAATGTAGCATTTTGTACAGTTCTTTTAAATGTAAACTTTAAAAAGCATGAGGGTGGCTAGGAGGTTCTTCAATAAGAACATGAACGTGTCTATAATTTAGAACTAGATGAACAAAATATATTCTAAAATGCATAAAGTAAGCCAATACTGCCTTAAAACTGAAGGAAATGTAAGACTGTGTTCTTGTCTCGCAATTTAGTCTATTTTATTTTACCTGGGACACAGTGCCAAGTACTGTGGAGCAGGAGAACATTACAGTGTACCATTGTTGGACTTGAGTGCTGAGGTGCCTGTGTGAGCCTGGGTCATAGGAACACATCTTTTATTCTCTGTTTCAAGGCAGGGAATTTGGCCTGCAGTGCCCATGAGCTCACAAAGGCAGAAGGGAAGCCAAAAATCCCTTCCCTTCTCTGCTTTTGTTATTTTGACACAAACAGATAGCAAAGTTCAAGTCTGTAGGACTCCATATGTAGATTACTGAGGATGTGTTTGAAATTCAAGGAAATAATACACTTTTCTTTTTAAATGTTTTCCTCTTTCCTGTATTTTTTTTTTGTATTTTCAACTACAAAAATTCTTCCAATGGAAAATAGTGATCTGAGAAGTTGGTAACCATATGATTCCATCTATTTTTTAAATTTCTTAATATGTAGGAATCTTATATAGCAAATAAAAGTTCTTTTTCAGACTCTTCATGTTGGATTTAATTAAATCACTAGCTTATATGCATTGATACTTGGAATGATGGTGTATAGAAATAAGCTGCATTAAATCTACTTCCATTTATGCCAAATCAAATGTCAAGATAGATGGCCATGCACATGTAATACTGGCATCTGCTGTTTGAAATTACTCCAGCAAACCACACTTAGACACTAGTGTAAAATAAGTAAATATTTGCAGTAGAACAACCAGCCCTGAAATACCAGTGGTGTTAATGAACACCACTGTGGGGCTGGAGCTTCAGCATTAGCATTCCCTGGGCACTAATGAAAATGTTTTTATGTTTTTACCTCTCTTAGTGTTCCCAGCTGTCTGGCATCTGCACCTTTGGAAAGGCTGCTCTGACAGTGCTCATTTGTGTTGTTTGTTGGGGTGTTTTTTGGTGTTTTTTTTGGGTTGGGTTTTTTTTTTTGGTTTCGTTTTGTTTTTTGGTTTTTTTCTTTTTTTTTTTTTCTTTTTTTTTTGAAAGCTTTCCTTCTGGCCATAAGGGCTTACAATTTCTCTGTTTTCATTAAACTTGGGCTTCTGGGTCATAATAAAATAGTGTAAAATTTACACAATTCGTAATGGTGAGTTGGATGGGCCTCTCAGCAGCCTGATCCAGTTGAAGATGTCCCTGCTTATTTGCCAGGGGATTGGACTAGGTGGCTTTTAAAGGTCCCTTCCAATGCCAACTATTCTATGAAAGTCTGCTAGCCACAATATCCCAGTTTGCTAAACTAACCTGAGATACATAACATTCAAAAAAATGTTCAATCATGCACTGCCATAGTATTTTCTTTCCGTGTCTCTTATGTAGTCTGTATGATAAAAGGAGCAGAAATGAGGGCATTCCTTAAGTCTAGCACAGAAGAGAGAGCAGCATTGCGAGGATGGAATTACAGCACCTGCAAGCACAGGATTGAACCGTGAACTGGCCTAAAATGATGGTTTTGTCACTCCAGACTTAATGTCTGTGTGTCTTTGTGTTGTGCTGTGGTTTGGGTTTGTTTTTTTTTTAAATTTTAGAATGTCAGGTTTTTATCCTTAAAAACATTTAAGGTCTCATGGACTCATGGACCACATCTCCTAGCAGAACAGGCCAGGAATGCCTTGTGGGTTTTAGTATTTCACTGTAATAAGCAAGTCAGTTCAGTGAAATTTTTGTTAGGTGTTGTCAGATTTAACCCTTTTCTGATTTAGAGATGGGCTAACTGCGAGGTGTTTTAACAACTTTTATTCCATTTTCAGTCTCACGAGAAGGGTGAGTCAATACAGGTGTTATAATTCCTGCCATCACAATCAAAAGCCAGCTATTTCCTAATTACAATACACCACAAGTGTTTCTTGGCTTAACAAGTTTTAACAGATCAAATTGAAACAGATGATAGATTACAGTTAGATGACTTATTTAAAAGATAAATAAAATCTTAGCTAAAAAAGCTTTACAAAATAAATTTATATGCATTATTATAATAATAATGTCAATAATAGTACCTTGTGTAGTTCACTGTACACAGCAATCAGTGAACAAAACAAATTCATTTATTTGATTTATTTTCTATAAATCCAATTCCCACGCTGTGTGAGCTGCAGGTTTTGAGAAGATTGTCACTGAATACGTGCTCTTTCCTTTCTAAGCAAAGCTTTCTGTTTCTGTAGAGCGCTGCAAGTGCAAGCCTGTGAAAGCCACCCAGAAGACCTACCTACGCAACAACTACAACTACGGTGAGAGCAGCTGCATGGCCAGCTCCCAGCTTTTCTAGGGCTGCAGGAAGGGGAAAGTTTTCATTAAAAAAGCCTAAAAAGTTCACAGTTAGTGATGGTAACCCAATATTACTCGTTGCTGGAGGAAGGTGTAGTCTGAAATGTTTCCAAGTTAGAAAGATGGAGGGGATTAGCTTAATATGTTAGTACAAGGGTATCTTTGTTGAATTATTTCAGTTTTAGTGCAGGCATTTGGGGTTCATGTACTTCTCTAGTGAGAACAGTGATGCAACAAAAATGACATTGTGGGCTGCTGTGCCTGAAGTGCCTCTGTGATTTCCAGTATACTCAGCTTTTGCAGAAGGGGATGTTTGCAGTAGCTCTCATGCCCACTAGCTCTCTGTGAGATCTAACAGGCTCTTTTCCTTCTGGTGCTACAAAGCCAGCAATGAGCATCTTTCCAGCTGTGTTATGCTGTCACTAACACGTGTGAAAGTGTGCATGTCCTGCTCTTCAGGCATATCACAGCCCCAGGCTCTTATGTTAATTCATGCTCTGTTTCGAGCAAGTTAGGCCAGTGAAGCCACTGAATACATATGACAGGAACTGAACAATTGGGCCCTTCCTTATTGCAAAAACCAGGCCTTTTTAAGCAGTTAAGCCTTTATCAATTCCATAGTTTTAAATCATAACAAGCACAGTCCAACCAGCCACCATACCCCACAATCTGAGCACATCATGGTTATAGAACTTCTTTTTCTACCTCTAATTCAGCTGAGTCACTTTCCCACAGCGCTCCTCTACTGAGCCAAAGTAGCAGGCCTGAGCCATGACTTTACAAAGGTAACAAGGCCCTTATTTTATTAGGCTTTATCAATATGCAAACTTCCTTTTTTCCCATTAATCAGGTGAAGAGCCTTAGGTTCAGCCAACTTTAAGGCTTTATTTAAATGGTAGCTATTGTATAATATTTATTAGGGTTGCACATTTATAAAGCCAGAGTCAGGTAATCTTTAAAAAATAGTCTGCTGTTAAAAGCTAAAAAATTACAACTGTATTCAAACACTTTTTTAGTCAGTTTTATGTCATTTTGATGTATTTGTTTATAAAAAAATAAGAGTGACTATTTCTCTAGTCAGAAACTGCATATGGCAGAATCATTGAGCACACTCCTGTTCATTTTCTCAAGCTTTTGAAATTAAATAGGTTTCAAAAGGCATTTGAAATATCCCTGAACTAAAGCAGTATTTTATTTTGAGGTGTTAAAAGGTTTTGAGAAAGGGAATCACTTAGTGTAAATTGTGCATACTAGATGCACTAGTTACCGTTTGTTGACAACTGTATTTAATGTGTTAAATGCTGGTTAATGGCTGTTAATGCATGTGAAGTGAAGAGATGTGTAAGTCCATGATTTTCTTTCTTCTCTATTACCTTTTTTGGTAAGAGACATGTGGAATTTGGGGTATCTCCTATTTATAGTGTGGAAAGGGACTCTTTGAATGATGTGGCATTCTCTAGAGCATGACCTCTAGGTTGGCTTTGCATTTGTATGTGGTATCAGTTCACTGGTCACCATGAGACAATGAAAAGCTTTGCCTTTGAAAGGCAACCTTTCCTCCAGTGCAACTTGAGGCAAAAAGAGAGGCAGAGAGAGGAAACAGTTAGAAAGGTCATTGGGTCAAGATCAGGAGCATTTGAAGTTCAGAAAGAGCAGAGCAGATTAGTGCTGGGTCATTGGAAAGAATAAAAAAGGTAAGGGCCTGTCATCCAGCAGAAGTAGTGATATGAGAAGTTTTAATGCACATTCACTTGTATAAGGTTCAGAGTGATGAAGTTTGCTCATCTGTACTGCAGGTAGTCAAAGAGGGAACAGTCACAGCTCAAGGGAGAGGGAGAGCATACAAGAAATACATGTAGTATATTTAACATGGAAAGGGTGAAGAAGAAAGGAAGGAAGGAAGTCAAAGCCCAACTTAAAACAGGCTGTAAATCCAACTGGTACATAACTCCTGCTCCTGACCATGTTATTAAGGGGCACACTGAGCTACCTGGACCTCCTTGGTGGAGGGTGAAGTAATGAAGGAAAGAGATGGAGGCAGAGACATTGCAGGAGTTCAGCTAAGCTTCTGATAAAGGACCATGCAAAAGACTAATCCCAGAGGTCACCAAGAGCAGCTTGGGAGTGACCTGCGTTATCTGCTGCTTCTCACAATGCTCTCTGTGGCTTTTCCCCAGTCATTCGGGCTAAAGTGAAGGAGGTGAAGACTAAATGCCACGATGTCACTGCAGTAGTGGAAGTAAAGGAGATCCTGAAATCTTCCCTAGTGAACATTCCAAAGGACACTGTAAACCTCCACACGAATTCTGGCTGCCTGTGTCCACCCCTCAGTGCCAATGAAGAATACATCATTATGGGCTATGAGGACGAGGAGCGCTCCAGGTAACTCCTCCTGTGCTATCCTTCACTGCTCTCCTGCTATAAAGCTGAATGTCAGAGACAGAAAGAAGGAAAACTTGGTGTGGGTGTCTGTACATATCCTTCATGGTATTCAGGGAGGGCAAGGCTCTCTGCAGGCACAGAGATCTTAGTCTTGTGTGTGTTGGATTGTATAGCCTCTTGATGGAGGTGTCTCTGTTGTGTAGGTTACTCCTGGTGGAAGGCTCCATAGCTGAGAAGTGGAAGGAACGTCTTGGTAAAAAAATAAAGGTAAGAAAATACCTCACCAGAAATCAAATGTTGTGGGTGCCATAAAACATCTACCTGTCTTTTTAAAATAAGGGAATAAAATGCATATGCTGCCTCCAGTTAACCAATATCAGATATGAAAAACTAACCTGGTGTTTTATTTACTTAATTACTTAGAACTGCATGCTGAGTAAATAAAGGGATACATTGAATTACCCCAAAGTATCCCAGTGCAGCAGCAGTCAGAACCCCTGTCTCAAAAAAGCAAACAGTAGGAGTCTTTTAACTCTGTGGGCAAGCTGTGCATTCCACAACACATGCCTGCTTAGTTGGGGTTGTGATATGAATGGGAAAAAAAAAACAACAAACAGACCAGAGGGCTTTACAAATGTTTTTCAGACTAAGTCATGGGCAGGGACACCATCCACCAGCCCAGGTTGCTTCAAGCCCCATCCAACCTGGCCTTGAACACTTCCAGGGATGGGGCAGCCAACACTTCTCTGGGCATCCTGTGCCAGGGCCTGCCCCCCCTCACAGCCAAGAATTTCGTCTGTTTATTTTATATAATCTAATCTGATCTAATCTAATCTCTGTCACTTTAAAGCCATTAGCCCTTGTCCTGTCATTACATGCTCTTGTAAAGACTCCTTCCTCTTTCTTGTAGCCCCCTTAGGTATTGGAAGGTACTCTAAGATCTCCCTGACCCCTCCTCCAGGCTGAGCAGCCCCAACTCTCTATATGAAAATATATTCTGTTTTTTTCTTACTTAAATATTTTCTAATGCCTTCCAAGTTCTGGAAGGATTACCTTTTTATGTTTTGATGCACTGCAAAGTATCAATGGTTTTGACATTGTCAGGAGAGTCACTTTACACTGAATGTTCTTATTTTGACGGAATTTCTCGGCCATTCATTTGCCATAATGGTTTTGCCTGTGCAAACCAGTCTTCTCTTCCACTCAGCACTTTCTTCCTCAGTGTAAGGGTCACTGGCAGGAAAATACTGTTGTATTTATAAAAGCAAGATTTTCTGTGCACATTTCTCACATCAGTGGAGATTACAGGAGTGAAAAGATACAGGGATCTTATTTCAAGTGGTTGTTAGATTTGGCAGAACCCTGGGAAATCCAGTGCCACAGAGAAAATACCGTTTTGCTGACATGGAGTGACTTCTGCTCAGTTTCAGTTCTTGGGTGGTAGCATCATTTGTTGAAATTTTTTTTGGGAATGCATACTTATTATGTTTGTTTTTTTTTTTAACTGGGATTTCTATTGCCTTCAAAAATATAAATAATATTTTTTTTCAATTAACAAAAATCCCTTGACTAATTTTTCATTAAGACTACATGAGTAGCTTAATTTAAATTTTATTATTTCAAAGGTGAGTCCCCCTTGTGCTGAAGCTTTGTACTAGACCCTTCATTCACAGAGGTGCCAGGAAAGAGTTTCCCTGTTTAAATGCCTTTTCCCAATAAGCTCTCATTTCATCCTTGAGCCCAGTGCAGGATGAGACAGTGGAAACAGCAACAGCAGCTTTTGCTACTGTTCGCCAACGCATGGTTCTGTGACCCCTCTGGTAATTTCTGTGACCTCTGTGGTAATTTCTGTCATCTCTATGGTAATTTCTGTGCCCACTCTGGTAATTTCTGTGGCTTCTCTGGTATTTTCTGTGACCGCTCTGATAATTTCTGTGACCTCTCTGGTAATTTCTGTGGCTTCTCTGGTAATTTCTGTGGCTTCTGTGGTAATTTCTGTGACCGCTCTGGTAATTTCTGTGACCGCTCTGGTAATTTCTGTGACAACTCTGGTAATTTCTGTGATCCCTCTGGTAATTTCTGTGACCCTGTTAGTGTTCAGGAACACACATAATCACAGGATATGATTATATGCAGGTGCTTTTATTAAGAGCTCTGAGAGTTGGGGCACAAACCCAAATCTGACTCCGACATGGCCTTCGAGCCGAACGTATTTTATATTCTATCGTTATATAACTTACATATTCATCATTAAACGTATATTATTCTATTGTATACATTGACATGAGTTTCTCGTGGTCTTTCTTAGGTCCCTGACCACAGTTTCTCATGATTATTCTTATGATTAAACAGTAATTATATTTAATTGGTAAACAATCATCACATCTAACAATTATATCATTTATCATGTACTAGCTACACAGGTGCAGTTCTAGCAAGGTACAAAGTCTTCTGTACTCAGGGTATTTATTTCTTTTCAGGGTCTACTAATCTTAATTTTCCTTTTAACCCTAAATCCCCATGATTTGAAACCCTTTTACTATCAGCCCCTGTGTTAATTCCCGTGACCCTGTGCAATGTCTGTGCCTTTCCCTCGCAGCGCTGGGACCAGAAGCTGCGGCAGGCGGGCAGGGCGCGGGCAGAGCCCGGTGGCGGCGAGGCGGCTCCGAAGCCCGGCGGTGCCCGGCCGGCCCGCAGCTAGGGCGGCACGGATGCTGCCAGCGCCGGGACGAGCAGAGGACTGTCTGCCAAGACTTCGTTGTTGGAGCAGCCAAGGAGAAATTGCACTATTGCACGTTATATTCTATTGTTTACTACAAAGTAATGTTTTAGCTTTTATTAGTTTTTGTTCTCCCTCTTTGTTTTTCCACCTTTTTATTTTTGGATATGTGCAACTTCTGGAAATGTGTATTTTTTTTTTTTCTGTTACTAAGAATTGTAGAAAACTGCCCTTATGAGATGAAGAAAGACAAGGACATCTTCAATTTACCTTTTTATCTCCTGAATCTTCTCTGGGAGAAAATTCTGATGCAAGGAGGAATGAAATCTGGCAAAGACCATTGCTTAAAGTCATGACTCGCACTGGCTTTCCCTGTTCACTCTTTCTTGGTCACTGCTGAAACTTGCTCTCTTTGGGGTAGGTTATCTGGGTTTAAGTGTATCATTTTTTATTCTGAAATATAATTCTGAAGTACATTTTTTTTTTTTGTTAAGAGAACTGTTCGAATCAGTACAGCTTTATTAAGTTTTCTTACAGATAAACCACTTGCATAAGGCAGAGTCTAACTTTAAATCCTGCAACAAACACAATGTGCATTTACACAGGGAACCTGGGTTTTCCAGTGCTTTGGACCTTAAAGGAAATATTATTTTATAATAACCATAATTTATAACATGCTTCTTCTCTTATAATGGCAGTTTTCCCTCCCTTTTCTCAGCTGAGTTATAGGAGTAGACAGACTCTCCAGGCCTGCTTCTCAGTACAGGTCTGCAGTTTAGCCTTTTGATTTTGTGGTGTTATTCTTAAATCCGTGCCTACATAAGCAAGTGTTCAATGCTCAGTAACATATGTCCAATAAAAGAATTGTAGTTGTCAACACAGACCTTACCTGACTTCTGAACCAACATCATACTGCTAATACTACTCTTGAAAATACAAAACCGAAAAAAAACCTTAATTTTTGTGCTTTAATAGAATTCTTTGCAGATGATGCCAACATCTTGGAAATGATCTTTTTTTTTTCCTACTATATTTCTAAATATGATGATGATAAGTAGGACAGAAGTATTTGGGAATATGATAATAAAGCTGTTTTAAGATTTCAGTTAATAACCAGCAGTCTTGGGACAGGTTTTCCATTGGGCTGGATACCAAGATAGTTGAAAAAGAACAACATCCTGCAACACTCAAATTTTTATTTATCATTAAAAATAAAGGGATAATTTAGGGGAAAGATTGGTTCTGAAAGCTGGCAGAAGGATATTACTCCTCTAGGTATTAAATCATCAGTATTTTTTCAGAATTACACAGATCACAGAATTATTTAGGTTGGAAAAGACCTCCAGGATCATCAAGTCCAAGCTTGGATTGATCTCCACCACATCAACTAGACCAGAGCACTAAGTGCCATGTCCAGTCTTTTCTTGAAGACCTCCAGAGATGGTGACTTGTTTAACAAGTATTTCTGCTGAGTTGGTAAATAACAGAACAATTTGTCAAATTGTGAATAGCTTGTTCAATAATGTTAAAAGCCTCATTATGTACCCCAAAGCACCCACTGAAGTCCCATAGATGAGTGCTGGAATCGCAAGGTCAGCAGGCACCACTCATCACATCATGTTCTGCTATGAAAAGAACTGTGAAATCATAAAACCTTTTTAAAGATGTAGGAAATCCCCAGACAGCTGGGAGTTTACCCTTTGCTAAACACCACTTCTTAAGATGGCCTCTCCCATACAATTTCTCTGTGATTAACGCCACCTTTATTTAATCCAGTTGCAACTCAGTACTGACATTAGTTGCATTAAAAATTGCCAGAGCAGAGCACAGTGCTGCACTTAAAAACCTCAGTAAGAGAAAAATGAGCAGCATTTGTAACAGTCACACACATCATGATGTTACAGTGAAAATATTTCCCTAACTGGAAGCCACCAGATTACTCTTTTTCCAGAGGTATTAAGCATTTTTCATTTCATGAAAAATGAGGGTGGCATGATGGGCTCTTTGGAAGAGGCAAGAGGCATTTCTCACAATCCCTTAATAAACTGAGGAGCCTTTTACAGACTCTGGCACTGATTTTACCCCATCACAGTGACTTCAGTGACTGAACCTTTGCAGCACCACCCAGACTCACTTGTGCTGGTACAAATGACAGGCAGGGACCAATGAGATACAGATGGCACAATATCAATTATTTCAATAACTTTGAGCAGTATCTCTCACACGTGTGTTTTGTGGCTTGGAGCACACTGAAATGCTCTGTTGCTCTAAAGCTGCACTTACTGCTTTATCACATCTGTGAGGACTTTGTGACATCCGCTACTGTTTTAAAGTGACTTTTAAAAAATTATAGTCTTATTACTTTGACCTAGTTGTACATTATTTTCTTGCTTCTTCCCTAGGAAATCATTTTCTGCCCTTTTTGTGCTCACTTTGATGTGATCCTACATTAAACTTTCAAAAATGCACTGTGTGGAAGCACTCAGCCCTCAGCACAATGTTTTCAAGGACATCCACTTGGGATGTGACTTTCCTTCAATTTGTGATGTATTTTGTTCCTCTAGTTTTATTAACTTATGTAAACACAAAGTCAAGTATGTTCTAAAAGTTTGGTTTGTCCAAAGTCATGTTGCTCAGCTGCAAAGGCAATGGAGTGTGGACTGCAATGTTTGCCTGGTGGAAGAGCCCCCAGGAACCATCACACAGGTACAGCAAGGGAAAAGCGCAGTGCAAGGAGGAAAAATCCCCAAAGCAGGCAGATTACAGAACTTGACAGTTTCTGAAGGGCTGCATGCCAGGCTGAGCTGTGGGTCCAGTGCTGGCTCTGCTCCCAGTGCCCTCAAAGTAGCCACTTTACCCCAGGGTGGCTGAGCTGGTCCAGGCTCTCCTCCCTCCTAATTCCCCATTTCTCCTGCGTCCTGCACCCAGGTTCTCCTCTGTCCTAACCCCTGGGGTTTTCTCCCTCCTGCTCCCAGCCCTCTGGCCTGTGTGGAGAGTGGGAAGAACTCTTTTCCACAATGCCTGGGCACAGCACAAGGTGCCAGAGCTGTGAATGCAGCCCCTCAGCCCATACCAGGCACACATCGTGTCCTTCTGCCATCCCACCCACCTGCTGCATGCAAGGCACTGCAGGAGCTGCTGTGGAGCTGCAGATGGACTTTCAAAGAGGATGCTGAATTAGAAGAATAAAAATTACTTAAGCAGCAACATAGCTGTTCCCATTGGAAAACATCACTGTGATGCACTTTGGACATTATAGCTCGGTGCTTCCATTCTCATCCACACCATTGCCTGGTTCCTGTGTTTTCCAGACATGCTGCAGCTCTGCCTGTGGTGGTCACAGTAAGTACAGTAAGGTGAGCACCATCACTGAATCAGCAACTCCTGTGAAGCATATAGTCAATCCTATTTAATTATTGGGCTTTGGAATTTTTTTTCTTTAAGTACTCAATGAATATCAGTTAATGTGAGAAGAAACATCTGCTGCACAAAAAGCCAAGAAAACCAAACTTCTGAGTTGATCATGTTTACTACTCTCCTCCTGTCCTCACTCAAAGCCTTTGGAAGAAAGCGAGGTTTGTTATTTTACATCTTTCCTAGTTAGGTCTCTGAGATCCTCTGTGTCAGGAAAATTAATCCATGATGTCAGAGGTTTATGTCCAAAAAGGAGACAGAGGAGTCCTGTAACTGTATTTGAACAAGGGGAGAGGCCATGGGGCTTTTCCCACAGGGTCTCTTGAATTGCTGGAGAATGCAGTCTCCTTCTTATCCCAATTTCCTGGCCACATTTCCCTCTCTCTTTCCCCATTGGCTGAGGTACTTGAGAGGTACAGACTTCCCAAATCACCTAATGCAAACCTGCCTTTTCTTTGTTTTTCTGTTCTTTTTCTCCAAATCCAGGAATTTAGCAGAGCCTTGAGTGACAGTCTGTGTCAATTAGTGGAATTAGTAGAATTCCTCTGGAATTTATGGTCCCTCCCATTGCTTCTTTCAGCTATCAGTATCTGGCTTTATCTACCAGCAGGCCCACAGTTTGTTTGTAAAGACAGATCCCTCTCACTCCTTTTCACCTGAACATCCCATGCCATTTAGAACGAGAGACTGTGGTGTGAAAATGTTGTGCTTTTTAAATCTTCCTTAAGTTGGGTGGAGCTTTACCTTATATTCCCAAGTTCTGCACTCAAACTGGGTGAGTATATGCTAACAGGTAGTGTTTTGTTCGGTTAATTTGTTTGTAAAAGTCCTGCTTCCCATCCAGCATCTACTTCATTCCTCTCTGAGAGTAAGATACTCCTACTTCATCTTTCAATCCCCATAGCTAAGGCCAACGAAAAAATAATGCTGTGTGAGGATGAAGAAAAGGAAAGATGTAGAGTGTGAGAGCCAACCTACCTCTGTCAGTGCAGAGAGAACAGCAGCTGACCTGGAGTGTCATCAGGGACAAGAAGCAGCTGTTTCTCTCATCCTGTGCTGCTCAGTGCAATGCTGGTGAGTGATTCTGCAGTCTGGGCAGGGCTCTGCCCTCCCTGGAGCTCTGTCACTTGTTTCAGGAAAAAAATCTCTTGAATTGCTTTAGAGCACTGCCTGCACTGAGGCTTCTAGTGTGATCTCTGATGGCGTGTTCCTTTTAAATGAATTTCCATATGCTGGAAGGAAGGCTGATTTCACTCTGTTTCCCAAGATCTTATTGAACAGTATAGAGACAGTATTGTATATAGCTTTTAATCTTGCCTTTAAAGGCAAGATTATAAAAGTATATAGCTTTTATATATAAAAGTATATAGCTTTTATTCTTGCCTTTTCACCTACAGTGAAACTATTTGAGGGTCATGGTCAGTCTGTCACTTTTGTAAAAAATTTTGTAGCTATGACAAAAGTGCTCTGTAGTCATTCAGAGTATTTCCTTGTTTCATTTCAGAGCTGGTTTGTTTGGAGGCAGCACTAAAACCCTATAAAAAGAGGGCAAATAGAACAGCATGTGATAGCCAGCTTGTTAATAGTGTACAATGTGGTTATTTTACTGGGTGATGCACATAATGCACATACCTATGCATGCACATGTGACCAAGTATCATGGGATGTATAGAAGGGTTGATTAAAACCATGCCTTTCCCATATCTGGGTTAGATTAGTCCTGAGAGAAAATATGCAGCCTAAAATCTCTGTGAATAATTAGCCTGACAAGTTGCTTCTCTGGTGCAGCTCAGCAGATGAGGAGGCAGGAGGAATAAACACCAAAGTTGCTTATTCACAAGAAATGTCCTTAATTTCTGGCAGGGGGTCACTCATGGCTTTAATAAATCTCCTCTGGACATATTAGTGGTGACATGAAAATAACAGAGCTTGATTTCAGCCTGGGAATTATTATTTTGGAGTATATTTCCTGCTATTGAAGCCAATAATTATTAGAGTCTATAGGCTGAGAACAACTTGCACATTTTGAGAAGAGCACAGAAAAAAAGAGCCAGTGAGAAGAGCACACTTCAGTCCATCAGGTTTCAAGACTAAACAGAATCAGGGTTTTCTTTTTTTGGTAATAGTCTGGAGTATAGAGTCTGAGAGAAGCATCAGTTCAGTGTAGTATCAAAGATGGGATGAAATATATCTACCCTGAGTGACACCCCAGACTTGCTTCCCCATTCCCTGGTACAGCAGCATAATGTGTAATTTTAAAAAAGTCCTGTCTGTTGGGCAGTCCAACAACTCCCTGTCCTGCAGGAGAAATCTTAGTAAGCCATTCTGTCACGCATGGAGGGGTATTTGCATTGCCTCTGCAACATGGTACAGGACATTGGATCATTATTCACTTTGGACAGTGCTGTTGGAGCCTGGGCAGATACAGGCTCAGGTGAGGATTGCTGTCTTGCTGCATT